TACTATAAACGATTATTATCGATTAATTTTTTATCGATAATTATCAATAAAAAATTAATTAATAATAATCATTTATAGTAAATTAACGATTAGTAACATTATCGATTAAAATCGATAAGGATATCTAGTGATTACAATCACCACTGTCGGTTCTTATCGATTAAATTTAATCGATAATAATCGATTAATTGTTGGTAATCGTAACCTATCAGCTTAAAAAATTTCCTGATGGCGATCTTTGCAGGACCATAGCATCCCTAATTGTGAAACACTATTTTTACAGCTCTCAAAAATTCCAAAATAGTATGGGCTGCTGATTCCGAACCCTACCCTGTTAACATCTACCCCGTTTATATCAACCTCCCATTAATATCAACCTCTTATTAAGAAAAAATAGAATTAGGCTATATAAAAACTATCCCGCTGTTATCACACTCGCACATATCAACATAATTGTCTAATCTAAATGGGTTGATATTAACGGTATAACCTATGTTTATTCGAAGTCGACATCTATAGTACATATTAAGTTATTTCATAACCCGGCTCAAATTTTGCCAACTTAAAAAAAATTTTTTAAGTATATTTACTATCAGATAAGTGATCATGCATCGATTAATACCATGAAATTTGTTTGAATTTGCTCTGACAGAACAAATTTTGTGATATTTATCAACGCATAACTCAGTATTTGTGTTAGGGAATTGCTACCGACACAGCAAAACACGTGCTTATCGACACAGAAAGTGACCAGTATGACCAGCACTATCGCTATACATACGGGCGGAAATCTCCAATTTATGTGATTATCTAGGTTGAACATTGAGATTAAATAGAATTCAAGCCAATAAATATAAAATATGGCGTGATTACTGAGATTAAAAGTGATGAGTTGATCAGTGATCGTAAAATTGCTTATGAATTGCTTATGAGTTTATGAGTTTTTATATCCCATTTATGAGTAGTGATCCTAGAATAACCCAAAATTAATCTAAATCAGATCATTTCGGATCACCAATGATAAGTACGTACTTATGAGTTTTTATATGCCGTTTATGAGCAGTGATCCAAATAGGTTAGCTAAAATAACCCCAAACTAACCTGAACCTGATCAGTTTTGGATCACTGGTGCTAAGTGCTTACGAGTTTTTTTATATTCCGTTTATGGGTAGTGATCCTAAAATAACCCAAAATTAATCTGATTATTTAAATACGTATCATATGACTACGTATCACCAAATTTCAATAATCAGAATATAACGTGTTTTGCTGTGCCGGTAGCAATTCCCTTGTGTTATCCGACAATTCAAGTCGCCATTGGCTGATTACGACATAACACACAAAAATAACAAAAAGAAATAAATCAATGATCATAAGAGTTTGCCGGATACAAATTTTTCTATGTAATTTTTGAAATTAATTAACATAATTAACATTAAAAGCCGGCTACCGGATCACTTTTTTAAAGAACCAAAATATTAAAAAAATCTATATTTGTATATATATCAAATAAAATTCAACATTAACATGGTGTAAAATTATTAAATATGTGTCACATTATAATCTTCAAATAATTTTAAAAAATTACTATTTAAAGTTAACTGTTTTGATTTACAAGAATTCCACATGGAAAATCTTAAAAAATTGTTATATCGATATGACTAGTACTATCTATGTTCGTGCTCGACATGATCTCTCACACTTTTTTGCTCTAGAATTCCGGTACCCGGCGGAAATACTGTAGAGCTAATGCAGCATACAGTATAATAGAAGACTGATTTGCGATACTGATTTTAGAAGGATTTTTGAAGTGACTTTCATATAACTCCTTGTCTCGGATTTTGTCTTTTGATTAACAAACCTATCCAAATTCCTGTTTTGATTGATAAATTATGAAATTTATACGTATCGACATGACTTTTTACCCAATTTAAGATATCTCTGTCAAATCTTTACCAAAAAAGATTGTGCAAAGCATTATTTTTAGATAGAAACGGTAATAAAGCTTTCAATTTTTAGGCACATAGCGATAGATGTTCTTAATTATTTTACTCAATAGACTCGAATTTCTTTCCTTTCTGGTATGATAAATGCATCATTACCACGCTAGTACGACGTATATATGTGGTTATATAATATAGAGTAGTACAATGCCAAACCAAAATGGGATTAAAGAAAATCCATAATGAAAGTCGTAATTGATTGGTATCAGGTATTATCCAATATCCTTCGATTAACCAATCTATTTAATTGTTTTTCACATTAATAACATAAATAAAATAAATAAATCATAAATGGATAAATAATAGTAAAGATTATTATTATGTACTTCAAAAGCATTCTAGGCCAAGTGTTTGGTATTTATTTTGAATGGTTCTAAACTTTTATGCATGCATACACGTACATTCTTCTTAAATATGCCCGACTAGCTGGGTATTTTTAAAACTAATAAGATTATTAAGACTCAAAGCATGTGTTACTATGGTTAATTATTTAGCTGCAAAATAAATCCACTAATATGCATCCTAATACTATATATGTTTTAACAGTTATGATTTGCGTTTTTACGTATAGGTAACCAGATAATTCCGGGTATTTCTCCTAGTGACAAGAACTAACGAAAGTTTTCTTAATTCTCTAAAATAAAAAAGGGATTTCTCTTTTTTTAATATATATATATGTAAATATATATATATATATATAAGATAACAATCATTGTTTTTCATTCTTTATTTTGTAATAATCCTTCCACTAGCTATCGGCATTCGATCGACGACTTTTTATTGTGTTACCAACAAACGAAGCATACTTCAAAAAGAACCATTCACCATTAAAATAATAATAAACAACGAAGCAGCAGACAAATTCGACCCTTTCTTTCATCTCTTCGAACTTATTATTTCAAAAAATTAAATAAAAGTGAAGGATTATAAACACATTATATGTATATATATAGGTTTTATACACATCGGACCTGTGATCTAAAAAACTTTGCGAGGGCTGGCTCCCTAGAAAACTTTCAATTCATATCCAAAAAAAAACTGAACGCCAGCTTCAGTGAATTTATAAACCTTATTTTATTTTAATTTTTTTTACGTCTCATCGTATATATATATATATATTATATACATATATATATATATCCTCTCGCAAAAATGGTCCACGCAACTAAAGAAAAAGAAAGTTCAACAGTACAAGTTGGTATGTAATAATAACTAACAAGAATTTAAAATACAATTGAAATAGAATTTGCTGTATCTTGTGTTTATCTCTTTATTGTAGCATCGTTAATAAATAGCATAATCCCGATAACTATAAAACTCAAATTATCTATTTCATTTTAGCCCTTCGAATAAAGCCTCTCACAACCGATGATCTAGCCAACCTCCCATCTCGGTTTCAAAAAAATGTTCTTTCCACAACACAATTTGCCCCAAATCAAGTTATGGTGCATAGTGAAAAGAAACAATCTTGGACATTCGACAAGGTTTTTGGCCCTGAAGCATCACAAAAGGATATTTATGATCAAGTAGTCAAAGAAATGGTAGATAAATTTTTAGAAGGTGCGTTTTTTATAATCACGTGTAATCATATGATAATTATCCCCAAGAAAAAAACTTTGTCCTTAGAAATTCTTTGATCTTTTTCGAATAGGTTTCAATGTAACCATTCTAGCATATGGTCAAACTTCATCGGGTAAGACATATACAATGGGTACATCAAATGAATATTCCCAATTACCAGAATCAAAGGGTATAATTCCAAGATCCATGGCTACTTTATTCTCTTACGTCAATTCGACGCAATATAAGAGTCGTAAATTTGTCATAAAAGTTTCATTCGTGGAAATATATAATGAAGACTTGATAGATCTTCTCGCCGAAGGGGATTATGAGAGCAGACCATCGGTAACTATACGGGAGGATTCGAAAGGTAATGTAATCTGGAGCGGACTACAAGAAATTAAAGTAAATAGTATAGAGGAAGTCATGGGGTATTTATTTTTTTTTAAAAATATATATATTTTTTTCCTTCATTTCATAAATTCATAAATTAATTGAATATATATAAACATTAGACATTTAATGCGTGGTTCAATGAGCCGACAAGTAAGCGCGACCGAAATGAATTCTCAATCATCTCGATCACATGCTATATTTTCGGTTATGCTATCGCAACAAAAATTTGTCACTGATTTTGGAAAAAAAAATAATGAAGAAGGAGATTGGGTTACGGTGACCAGCAAATTTCATTTTGTCGATTTAGCTGGTAGTGAAAGGGTAAGACGCCACGTGCGTTATTATTTTTCTTCATATTTGGCGCTTAAAATAAATATATTTCGTTGAATGTTTTTTGTTAGCTCAAACGAACCTCGGCAATAGGGGATCGTGTGAAAGAAGGTATATCTATCAACTCTGGCCTTCTTGCCTTGGGGAATGTTATATCTGTATTGGGTGACCCCGCAAAAGCAAAAAATGCTATGCATATTCCGTATCGAGATTCAAAACTTACTCGATTATTACAAGATTCTCTTGGCGGAAATGCCAAAACATTGATGATTGCATGTGTTTCACCAGCAGAATACAATATTAATGAAACGATCAGCACGCTTAAATATGCAAATCGAGCTCGTAATATAAAAAATTCTGCCATCGTTAACCAAGAAGAACCTGGATGGCAAGATATTGAATATTTACAAAATTTGGTTCTAAAACTTCGTGCCGATATTAAAGCTTTGAAGGATTCTGATGGGCTTAATTCTACATCTTTTCAACCAGATGCTATAGATTTACAACAAAATTATTTCGGTTATGAAACTAATGATTCAATTTCAGAGGAAAATAAAGATGTTCAAATACTTGAAGAACAATTAATGGAACTTCAAAATTCGTATATGGATATGTCTAAGAAACATGCACAGGCTTCTGCATCTCTTAGCATATATAAAAATTGTAATGGTGCAGAAAAACCTTTATCTCCAAAAGAGCAAGATACAATACCGGATCAAGAAGCTATAAAATCAATGGTCTCAAAATATGAAAACTCTATTGTTGAATTTGAGAAGGAACTCGTTGCCGTACGAGAGGCCGTACGAAATGCTGAAATGCTTGTTCGCGAACAGGAGATGAAAGTGTTAGACGCAGAAGACCTTAATAATCAAGATACAAGGATAATAGACGATCTAAAAAATAACATTTCAAATCGTGAGGAAAGGAAAAAAACAACTGAGGAATATATTAAACATCTAGAAGCTAAACTGAATGCACACGAGGGTGAACAAAAAAAAGATCAGGATATAATTAATGAGCTTAAAGAAAGATTAGCTCATATTCAGTCAGCGGGAGACGACACGGAAAAGATAGTCAAAAATCTTGAATTAAAATTGAAAGAAAGTGAATTAAATTATCAAAAAATCAATAAAAATGCTCAAAAATTGGAAAAAGCTTTACATGATGCATGCGATGCTTATCTTAAACTTGAAACACGTTATAAAAAAGATAGGGCTAACGAAGATGATGATCGTAGTCTTTTTTTGGAAGAAATTCAAGACCGAGATGAAAGAATTTCACAACTTGAGAAAAAGGCTGAGGAGCTGGTTGAAGAAATTGAACAAATGAAAAGGATTAAAGCAGAAGCTGATAGACATTCACTGAAACGAAAACAATCCACGTCGACATTTTCTTCTCTCACTGATCTCGAAACACCATCAACTTCCACACCATTCGGGGATTACTACACTGTCTCTCAGCTTGAATTACAAATATATGAGTTGCAACAGATACAAGAAAGCACAATGTCCGAATTTTTAGATACCAAGCAAAAATATCAATATTGCCTTGATAAATTACATAATCTTCAAAAACAAACAACTTCTCGTAGAAAATCATTATCAATATCTACTGAAAAAACAATGGACGAATTGTCAAACATGGCTTTAGTACAAAAATTACAAGCCGAGCTTCGACAGTTAGAAATGTTTCATGCTGATAAGGCACGAGGGCTAGATGCTGTAAAACAAGAATTTGCTCGACTTGAGATCAATCATCTTAATACACTCGAAATTGTCGAAGAGTTAAGAGAAGAAATAAAAAGAAGAGATGCAATGGCACAAAATGAAGTTATGTCTGTTATGAATTCAGATCATATTTATGTTGATTCTAGCGATCTCTCTGCTGTCACTAGCGAGATTGACAAACAGGAAATCGTAAATAGGCTGAGAGAAGAAGTTGAGCAGCTTAAAGAAGATCAGAAGCGAATTTTGGACACTTTAGATACAAATCAGGGAGGTTGTAAGAGTGATAAAGTTTTGGAAATTGAAATAAAGATCAGTGAAACAAAAACCGAAATGAGTAATGTTATTTCTGAACATTCCAAAAAGATGTCAGCTAATCCGGACGATGAATCTCTTAACGCAACGTGCTCTAGGTTAAGAGAGCTTGAAGAACTTTTAATAAAAGCATTCGAGGATAAGAGAAAGGCTAGAGTCATTGATGCTATTTCATGTCTGGAGGCTGATACACATTTACAGCCAGAGCTTGATGATGAAATGTTAGAAATGAGAATGCAAATTAATAAGCTTGACATAGAAATTGATTCAAAGAGTCATACAATAGCAGCACTCTTGTTCCCATCTATTGAACAACAAAACGCAATTCGAAAACTTGAAGATGAACTTCAAGAAGTTAGAGAATCATATCAAACAATTTTAGAGAAAAAAAACAAATTAAATTCAATTTCTGAAGAATCTGATGCACTAGAGAAACAGCTCAAAACGTTAGAAGAAAAAATGAACGACCTCGAAACTCAGATAGCCAAGGCAACAGAGTCTCATCACATTCCAACTCCACGACGAAGTTCCTTGATGTTACTTCTGGATACACCAACGCATAAAGCTATTAATAGTCTTGATGAAAAACTTATAAGTTTGCAAAAAGAACTTGCAACTAAATCAGGTGCAACGGAATCCTTACAAGAAGAACAAGAAATTGTCGTTGCCTTTCAAGAACAACTAGAATTTATCAAATCAAACATACAGCAAAAAAATGATCTGATTGATCATTTAAAAGAAGACTTAGATGATAAGCCATCCCTTCAACAAAGATTGAGAGACAAAGAAGCAGAAGCGTTATCATTTAGAACAAAACTTATGGACATTCAAAATAAAATAATTTATTTTCAAAATGAAAAAAATGACCTTGTTATGTGGCTTCGGAAGTTAGAAACCGGAGGTGATATAAATAAAGATATTGAGATTGAATTGCAAGTTCTAAGAAAGGAAATCATACAAGTTCGTGAAAGAGAAGCTGCAGCACTGGAACGGCTTCGAGTTCTCAAATCAAGCATAACCACAGAAACTGAAGACAATCATCTTCATGAAGAATTGGAAAGTTTACGCAATATAGAATGTGCACAACAAGAGAAAATAAATGACCTTGAAAAAAAAATTGCTGAAAAAGGAGATAGCGTTGACGAGGAAATTGTAAAAATAAGGACTGAATTAGCAATAGTTAGAAAGGCTCAAGAAAAACAAAGCAATGTGATCGAAACACTCGAACAGAAATTAAAGATTGCGGAAGACAAATCACATGTAGCTGCAATTAAGCAAGAAATTAATGACTTGAAAACACGAGAAAACGAAAATTTGAAGAAAATACAATCTATAGAATTAGAATTGCGTGACTCTGCTATCCAAGATATACAGCAAGCTGAAAAATTGAATGAAGAGATTAAAAAATTGCGTGGTCATGAACGGGAACAACGTAAACGAATGGAATTTCTTCAAACACGGTTAGAATTGGCCGAAGACGAAAATCCAGATATATTTTCCTTAAAAAATCAAATATCCGAGTCCAAAACTTCAGAAGCAGAACTCCAAAAAAAAGTTAATGATTTAGAAGCCAAATTTGCAACCATTCAAAAAGAAACGAAGATTTTTGGAATGGTAAAAGAGGAAGTAAGATTCTTGAAAGAATTAGAGGTTGAGCAGAAATCCACAATTGATCAATTACAATCACAATTAAATAAAATGAAAGAAATTAGGGAGGTCGCCATCAAAGAACTATCAACAATGAAAGGTGGATCTAACCTTCAAAAGAGACGTGTTATTTCTTTAGAAGAAGACATGAAAAGATTAAGGCAGGAATTGGAGCTTGCTAAAAACGACACTAATTCATCGTCTGAGAAATATGAAGAACTTACGAACTTATTGAACACCACTCATAAGCAATATGAAGAGTCATTAAAACGAGTAAAACTTTTGGAAGGTGAAGTTGAATCATTCAAGAATGATGGAGTCGCAAGTGACGAAAAAGTTGCAACTGTGAGAACTGAATTGGTTAATGCAAAACTTGAGATGATGACACAAAATGAAAACGTAGTCAACTTAGACATGCAGATAGGTGCAATTGAGAAAGAACGCGATCAGAGTGCGCAACGAATTAAAGAGTTAGTAAACACACTTAATGACAGAGAACCTAATCAAAAAGATGCTATCAGAGCACTTGAATCTACGTTAACAAATTTTGAATCCAAAATTCTCGAAACGAAAGTTGAATCAGATGTAAATAAGGAAACTATTGCACTTATAGAGGAAAAACTTGGGATTGCTCGAACACAACTTAAAGAAACAAAATCCATAGATGAAAAGCGTATTAAGTTGTTTAATGGATTAGAAAGCGAATTAAAAACATTGACAAAATCATTAGTGTCAGATGAACAAGAATTTATGAATCAAGACTACAATATTACAAACCTAAATGCTATTATTCAATCTTTGGAAATTGAATTGCAAACGGCAAGCTCATCAAAAACGAATTTCACTGCACGTATAAGACAGTTAGAAGCCCTACTTGCAGAAGAGACTTTAAGGCTTGAATGTAACGCTACATCATCTACTGACCTTGAAACATTGAATTCAGAACTCCAAAAAGCTAAAGCGGCTGAAGTTCAATATCGGCAACAGATCAAGAGTTTAAAATCTAAGATCCGAGATGCCAAGCAGTATCGGAATGCAGAGCATAATAATCTTAAAGATGTTACAAACAACATATATTCCCTTAGGGCACAGTGTACCCTGATGCAAAATGAAATAGAAGATATTAAATATAATTCTGTTCTTGATTGTTATGATAGTATAGATGATGAGATGGTTGAAAATCTTATTAAACAGTTGAAACAAACTCATAAAGAGGCCAAAGAAAAAATAAGTCGAGTTATTGAATTAGAAAAGATCTCACATCAATTGGAATCCGACAAAATTATTCAATATGAACATAATGAAGATCTTGAAGAAGAATTGGATCAGCTTCAAAAGGATATTGAAACTCTGGCAGACGAATTCGCAGATGCAGCTTCGAAATTTGAAGATAGTGATAAACTATGTAAGAAACAAAGGCGTATAATTGCCGAGATGGAAGCTGCACTGGAAGAAGCCAAAAATCCCATCAGAATTAATGAATTAGAAGGATCCACGGACCCAGAGACAAACAAATTGTTGGTTTTAAATAAAGAACTACGCCAATCTCATGACCATTTAAATTCAAAAATGTCCGAATTCGAGAAAAAGACTAATTCACTAAAAAATAAAATTAAATCTCTGGAAGTCGAGCTTGTCCGACTCAGCGAAAATGATCATGCTTTGACCAAAAATTTAGAAAGTCAAATTGAGAAACTGGAATTTGAAAAGGACAAATTACAAGGGACGAATGAAATTATTCTCGAAGAACGTGAAGTTCTGGATAAACGAATAGCATTTTTAAGAGAGCAATTACGAATGGATGGATCTGATGAAACAAAGATAACTACACAGATAATTCAATTAAAGGAATTCGTTAACAAACTTAACAAACAAGTTTCTGATATCAAGCAAAAATCAGCTGATAAATCCAGATCTATGGAACAAGAAATGTGCCGATTATTAGACATTAATGCCCAGCTCGAAAGAGAAACAAATCAAATTGACGGATCAAGTCCTCACAACAACTCAATAAGAAACACAATTATAAAGCATGATTATTTTCGCTGAGTCGGACAAGCTCGACTTCCAGAGATTTAATTTTATTTTTTAGTGAATTAGTCTTTTTCTCGAATTCGGACATTTTTGAATTTAAATGGTCATGAGATTGGCGTAGTTCTTTATTTAAAACCAACAATTTGTTTGTCTCTGGGTCCGTGGATCCTTCTAATTCATTAATTCTGATGGGATTTTTGGCTTCTTCCAGTGCAGCTTCCATCTCGGCAATTATACGCCTTTGTTTCTTACATAGTTTATCACTATCTTCAAATTTCGAAGCTGCATCTGCGAATTCGTCTGCCAGAGTTTCAATATCCTTTTGAAGCTGATCCAATTCTTCTTCAAGATCTTCATTATGTTCATATTGAATAATTTTGTCGGATTCCAATTGATGTGAGATCTTTTCTAATTCAATAACTCGACTTATTTTTTCTTTGGCCTCTTTATGAGTTTGTTTCAACTGTTTAATAAGATTTTCAACCATCTCATCATCTATACTATCATAACAATCAAGAACAGAATTATATTTAATATCTTCTATTTCATTTTGCATCAGGGTACACTGTGCCCTAAGGGAATATATGTTGTTTGTAACATCTTTAAGATTATTATGCTCTGCATTCCGATACTGCTTGGCATCTCGGATCTTAGATTTTAAACTCTTGATCTGTTGCCGATATTGAACTTCAGCCGCTTTAGCTTTTTGGAGTTCTGAATTCAATGTTTCAAGGTCAGTAGATGATGTAGCGTTACATTCAAGCCTTAAAGTCTCTTCTGCAAGTAGGGCTTCTAACTGTCTTATACGTGCAGTGAAATTCGTTTTTGATGAGCTTGCCGTTTGCAATTCAATTTCCAAAGATTGAATAATAGCATTTAGGTTTGTAATATTGTAGTCTTGATTCATAAATTCTTGTTCATCTGACACTAATGATTTTGTCAATGTTTTTAATTCGCTTTCTAATCCATTAAACAACTTAATACGCTTTTCATCTATGGATTTTGTTTCTTTAAGTTGTGTTCGAGCAATCCCAAGTTTTTCCTCTATAAGTGCAATAGTTTCCTTATTTACATCTGATTCAACTTTCGTTTCGAGAATTTTGGATTCAAAATTTGTTAACGTAGATTCAAGTGCTCTGATAGCATCTTTTTGATTAGGTTCTCTGTCATTAAGTGTGTTTACTAACTCTTTAATTCGTTGCGCACTCTGATCGCGTTCTTTCTCAATTGCACCTATCTGCATGTCTAAGTTGACTACGTTTTCATTTTGTGTCATCATCTCAAGTTTTGCATTAACCAATTCAGTTCTCACAGTTGCAACTTTTTCGTCACTTGCGACTCCATCATTCTTGAATGATTCAACTTCACCTTCCAAAAGTTTTACTCGTTTTAATGACTCTTCATATTGCTTATGAGTGGTGTTCAATAAGTTCGTAAGTTCTTCATATTTCTCAGACGATGAATTAGTGTCGTTTTTAGCAAGCTCCAATTCCTGCCTTAATCTTTTCATGTCTTCTTCTAAAGAAATAACACGTCTCTTTTGAAGGTTAGATCCACCTTTCATTGTTGATAGTTCTTTGATGGCGACCTCCCTAATTTCTTTCATTTTATTTAATTGTGATTGTAATTGATCAATTGTGGATTTCTGCTCAACCTCTAATTCTTTCAAGAATCTTACTTCCTCTTTTACCATTCCAAAAATCTTCGTTTCTTTTTGAATGGTTGCAAATTTGGCTTCTAAATCATTAACTTTTTTTTGGAGTTCTGCTTCTGAAGTTTTGGACTCGGATATTTGATTTTTTAAGGAAAATATATCTGGATTTTCGTCTTCGGCCAATTCTAACCGTGTTTGAAGAAATTCCATTCGTTTACGTTGTTCCCGTTCATGACCACGCAATTTTTTAATCTCTTCATTCAATTTTTCAGCTTGCTGTATATCTTGGATAGCAGAGTCACGCAATTCTAATTCTATAGATTGTATTTTCTTCAAATTTTCGTTTTCTCGTGTTTTCAAGTCATTAATTTCTTGCTTAATTGCAGCTACATGTGATTTGTCTTCCGCAATCTTTAATTTCTGTTCGAGTGTTTCGATCACATTGCTTTGTTTTTCTTGAGCCTTTCTAACTATTGCTAATTCAGTCCTTATTTTTACAATTTCCTCGTCAACGCTATCTCCTTTTTCAGCAATTTTTTTTTCAAGGTCATTTATTTTCTCTTGTTGTGCACATTCTATATTGCGTAAACTTTCCAATTCTTCATGAAGATGATTGTCTTCAGTTTCTGTGGTTATGCTTGATTTGAGAACTCGAAGCCGTTCCAGTGCTGCAGCTTCTCTTTCACGAACTTGTATGATTTCCTTTCTTAGAACTTGCAATTCAATCTCAATATCTTTATTTATATCACCTCCGGTTTCTAACTTCCGAAGCCACATAACAAGGTCATTTTTTTCATTTTGAAAATAAATTATTTTATTTTGAATGTCCATAAGTTTTGTTCTAAATGATAACGCTTCTGCTTCTTTGTCTCTCAATCTTTGTTGAAGGGATGGCTTATCATCTAAGTCTTCTTTTAAATGATCAATCAGATCATTTTTTTGCTGTATGTTTGATTTGATAAATTCTAGTTGTTCTTGAAAGGCAACGACAATTTCTTGTTCTTCTTGTAAGGATTCCGTTGCACCTGATTTAGTTGCAAGTTCTTTTTGCAAACTTATAAGTTTTTCATCAAGACTATTAATAGCTTTATGCGTTGGTGTATCCAGAAGTAACATCAAGGAACTTCGTCGTGGAGTTGGAATGTGATGAGACTCTGTTGCCTTGGCTATCTGAGTTTCGAGGTCGTTCATTTTTTCTTCTAACGTTTTGAGCTGTTTCTCTAGTGCATCAGATTCTTCAGAAATTGAATTTAATTTGTTTTTTTTCTCTAAAATTGTTTGATATGATTCTCTAACTTCTTGAAGTTCATCTTCAAGTTTTCGAATTGCGTTTTGTTGTTCAATAGATGGGAACAAGAGTGCTGCTATTGTATGACTCTTTGAATCAATTTCTATGTCAAGCTTATTAATTTGCATTCTCATTTCTAACATTTCATCATCAAGCTCTGGCTGTAAATGTGTATCAGCCTCCAGACATGAAATAGCATCAATGACTCTAGCCTTTCTCTTATCCTCGAATGCTTTTATTAAAAGTTCTTCAAGCTCTCTTAACCTAGAGCACGTTGCGTTAAGAGATTCATCGTCCGGATTAGCTGACATCTTTTTGGAATGTTCAGAAATAACATTACTCATTTCGGTTTTTGTTTCACTGATCTTTATTTCAATTTCCAAAACTTTATCACTCTTACAACCTCCCTGATTTGTATCTAAAGTGTCCAAAATTCGCTTCTGATCTTCTTTAAGCTGCTCAACTTCTTCTCTCAGCCTATTTACGATTTCCTGTTTGTCAATCTCGCTAGTGACAGCAGAGAGATCGCTAGAATCAACATAAATATGATCTGAATTCATAACAGACATAACTTCATTTTGTGCCATTGCATCTCTTCTTTTTATTTCTTCTCTTAACTCTTCGACAATTTCGAGTGTATTAAGATGATTGATCTCAAGTCGAGCAAATTCTTGTTTTACAGCATCTAGCCCTCGTGCCTTATCAGCATGAAACATTTCTAACTGTCGAAGCTCGGCTTGTAATTTTTGTACTAAAGCCATGTTTGACAATTCGTCCATTGTTTTTTCAGTAGATATTGATAATGATTTTCTACGAGAAGTTGTTTGTTTTTGAAGATTATGTAATTTATCAAGGCAATATTGATATTTTTGCTTGGTATCTAAAAATTCGGACATTGTGCTTTCTTGTATCTGTTGCAACTCATATATTTGTAATTCAAGCTGAGAGACAGTGTAGTAATCCCCGAATGGTGTGGAAGTTGATGGTGTTTCGAGATCAGTGAGAGAAGAAAATGTCGACGTGGATTGTTTTCGTTTCAGTGAATGTCTATCAGCTTCTGCTTTAATCCTTTTCATTTGTTCAATTTCTTCAACCAGCTCCTCAGCCTTTTTCTCAAGTTGTGAAATTCTTTCATCTCGGTCTTGAATTTCTTCCAAAAAAAGACTACGATCATCATCTTCGTTAGCCCTATCTTTTTTATAACGTGTTTCAAGTTTAAGATAAGCATCGCATGCATCATGTAAAGCTTTTTCCAATTTTTGAGCATTTTTATTGATTTTTTGATAATTTAATTCACTTTCTTTCAATTTTAATTCAAGATTTTTGACTATCTTTTCCGTGTCGTCTCCCGCTGACTGAATATGAGCTAATCTTTCTTTAAGCTCATTAATTATATCCTGATCTTTTTTTTGTTCACCCTCGTGTGCATTCAGTTTAGCTTCTAGATGTTTAATATATTCCTCAGTTGTTTTTTTCCTTTCCTCACGATTTGAAATGTTATTTTTTAGATCGTCTATTATCCTTGTATCTTGATTATTAAGGTCTTCTGCGTCTAACACTTTCATCTCCTGTTCGCGAACAAGCATTTCAGCATTTCGTACGGCCTCTCGTACGGCAACGAGTTCCTTCTCAAATTCAACAATAGAGTTTTCATATTTTGAGACCATTGATTTTATAGCTTCTTGATCCGGTATTGTATCTTGCTCTTTTGGAGATAAAGGTTTTTCTGCACCATTACAATTTTTATATATGCTAAGAGATGCAGAAGCCTGTGCATGTTTCTTAGACATATCCATATACGAATTTTGAAGTTCCATTAATTGTTCTTCAAGTATTTGAACATCTTTATTTTCCTCTGAAATTGAATCATTAGTTTCATAACCGAAATAATTTTGTTGTAAATCTATAGCATCTGGTTGAAAAGATGTAGAATTAAGCCCATCAGAATCCTTCAAAGCTTTAATATCGGCACGAAGTTTTAGAACCAAATTTTGTAAATATTCAATATC